TGACTATCGAGCTTTGGATCTTTTGTTCTCGACAGAAGCGTGCATTTGAGAATTGAAGCGCGAGTATTAATTGAAAGTTGCCGGGTTACTTCCGGCGCTTACGCTTGAATGCCACATTAGCTGATCTTTACGTTGAGCAGAAATTCGATTAGTCGATACCGTCATCCTCTTTTCCACTTTCATACCTCAGTTTTTTCCCCTCTTAACTCAATTCTTATCGTTTTTATCGGCTCGGCTCCACGTAATTCGACTGCGAGCAAATATTGAGCTAACGTGAAACGGATAAGGATGTTCATCTACTACAAGACCACACGCAGCAAATTAAATACGTTTTATCTGCTCAAATCCTAAAATACACGGACAACTGCGCTGTATCAAAACAACTTATTTCTCATGTGTGGAAACGTTAATCGCTGTGGCTCGTAAAAGTTGCGACAAAATGCGAATGAAAAGAAAACCTCGTTCCAAATGAAAATTAGCCTCGGAAATACCTTAGAAAACGGCAATGTTTGTTCCATGCGCGCGTCATCGTGAAATGCAAAAGACTCTTTGGTAAAAAAAAAAAGAAATACATCGCTGTCACCCCGCGTCGAGCCGCGAAAGCATTACAATCAGCTCTGCGAGCTTTTAAGCGCCTTACCGGATTCGATCGTGTTCCAAAAAGCTCCGCCCATTGTCGCGGCGGGGCCGCGAACAAGATATCCGTCACGGGCCGTTTTTTGTCCTTCTTCGCTCGCGCGCGCGGGCTTCATTTGAACAAAGAAAACATTATCCCCGAAGGCGTGCACGAGAGAAAAAGAGAGCGAAAGAGATACCATTCTCGTTTACGTAACAAGATTACCACCGCCCTGAGAAATTCTCCGTGGCACTATCGCTTATGTACGCTGACGAAGAAAAACACGCCAGAGTAGTCTGATCGTAAGTTGGCTTATTCTACTGAAAATGTCTAGCCTGGCTGAAAATTTGCTTTGATTCTTTTCGTGTCTACTACTTTCACGAAGCCGCAAGTATGTTATCGTGTTAACAAGACAAAATTTTTCCGCACTTTGCCAACCTTCTATAGCTCTTGAAAAGGATAGATTAAATACCTCAATGGAAACCAGCTCATGAAATTCAATGAATTTTCAAGAAGGTATCCAGATTTAGAGTAGAATGAAAATCGTCGAAGAAAAACAAAAATTGTAGAATCGCGTTACAGCAAGCGCATCGATGGCTTAATTAACATTGCGATCAAAGCTCCGACCAAGAGAATCCATTAAAAAATATGGCAGTAGCCTTCAAAGTTCAAGGCTCTATCAGAAAGCGCTGAAAACTCGCGAGGGAGAGAAAAAAAGTAAGACTGCAGTAGCGACCCAGGGAGAAGCGAGAGGAAGGATGGAGCGAGAGAGGGAGGTGCGCAGGTGGTGTGTGTGTGGCGGGGGCCGCGTGACGCGAATGTAACCTTGGCAACTACGCCCCTCCGTCGTCGTCGACTGGATAGACGCGCTGCTGCACGCTTGACGATTGTTGCGCGCGCGCGTGCCTGCGATGATTTCGACTGATTTTCCGAGCGATCGTTCTCTACCGACTCGTACTTCATCTCGCACTAAACGCTCTCTCTCTCTTTACGTACGTTTCTAAATTACTTCTGCTTCGCTGACTTTCAAGGAATAAATTGAATGAATGGAAAGCAAAACATTTATCCCCACAGAATCATCTTCCATTGTTTAAATAATTAACTGCCGCGAACTTTTGCGGAAAGACGTACAAAAGTAGAACGCAAGCTAAACTCTCGCTTTGTTCGCTCCTCGCATTACAGCAGCCTGGCAATTGCTCGCTTTTGATTAACGTGCCTAAACAATTACGCGTGGAATGTTAATCGAGGCGCCAGTTGGAAATGAAAGCCGCTGATTTCCGGAACGACATGCCGATGGCGCGTCGCGCCACGAGCGTTGATATTCGCGTGTGATGTTAACATTGGCACGAGCATCCAGCGTCAAATTCTATTTTCACCTCTCTCTCTTTTTCAGTACTTCATCGCCGCGTAATTCAGTTCGCCCACTCTCGGCGTGGGTGCAATCGGTCTGTCTGTCTGTCTGTCTCTCTCTCTCTCTCTCTCGCAAATTCCATTTACAAACGCAGCTCGCGCGCCGCCCTCGCAGATAATTACACTCCACCGGGGCGCGCTCGACGCCCGGTAATTCCGCTCGCTGCCCTTATCGAGGCAAATAATACTCTTTCGCCGGTTTACAATGGAGTTAGCCGAGGCGAGAGGAAGCAAGAAAGGAAGTAGGTCGGTAAACGACGACGAAGAGAGGAATCTTTTTCGCTAGAGCCGCTATCGAAAATCATGTGCGCGCGCGCGTGTGTTTTGATGCTTGCCAAGTGACCGAGCCGTATATACGGTAGGAGCAATGCGTGGGATGGTGGGGGGAGAGAGGGAGGAGAGAATCGAGGGGCTGGCATAGCTCTGGCATTGGGTCGAGGTCACCAGAACGGCGGGCTGATCGATGTAGCGTCGCTCGCTTCTGCCGGCGCGCGCTCTCTCTCACTCTCTCCCTGCCTCGCGCGTGCGGCTTGGCTCGTGGGATCCGTCTTTCCCCTCCTCGTTTTTCACCGACCGAACGATCGCCGGAATTTCGGGCCGGCAAGTAACTTACCCGCGGATAAATTGCAAAGATGATGAGTTCGCGGAACAGCGTGAAAAAAAAACGGACGTCTTGCGAGCGCGCTGGCCTTTCTTTACCGCTAGCCCATTGTACGTGCGTGAAAGGGTAGACGGCTCATTAGAGCGCGCATCGATTGGAGTTTGACCGCGATCTATCAACAGAGCTGAATAGCTCGCTCGCTCCCGAGATAAAATTAGTTTTGGAAAAGCTGCAGGTTGAGCGGCCGTCAGACGCGAGCGACAGCGCACAAGGAGCACGCGAATACTGTTTAATTGGCACTTTCGATCCCCTATTGCCGCAACTTTCGCCAGCCTTATTTACGGCATTCAATTTATTCTTTTTAACGACTTTTTAATTCAATGCAGTTTTATAACCGGCCTGCACCACTTAGCTGCAACTTTTTCCCCTGTCGTCTCTCTCGCTCTCGAGAAGTTTATGTACAGCAGTTAGTTGGCCTCCTAATAGCCCCTGTCAGAAAACCAGCACTCCAGCTCTACACTTTTAGCGTCTTCGTCGTCGTTGAGTCTTCGTTCTTTTCTTGTTTGTCGCGCTCTACTTTTTCCGAAAAATCTCTTTCTTGCTACTTTGGCCCCGGGCGTACTTTCGAATCTTCTTCTTTCTCTTCTTCTTTTGCTCCTTCTCGAGCAACGAGCTGCTTACATATTTATTAGATAAAAGAAGTTGGCCGCGCCGAAAAGCTTTCGACGCTGCACTCGCTCGTCTACCCCCCACCCCCGCGCTACGTATACTTTTTCGTGTTACGCGCCACTTTCTCGGATTATTTCCACGCGAATTGAGTCATTTCCCCGTTAGCCAGCAAGCAAACTGCTGTCTTCGATTGCCAGTCATTCGTGTGCGCCCAATCGCGTTTTTGGCTTCGAAAAATGCTCGCTCGCGATAGCGATTTCCTCGCGGATTAACGTTCGCGTGTTCAAAAGTAAATTTCAAGTCGGACATTTTATTTTATTTATTTATTTATTTTTTTTTTTTTCGTAAAAATGACTCGTATCTCGCACTGTCAAAAATGATAAAATGTGTAGGTTAGAAAAGAGCGCGATTGAAAATGTAAACGCAGGCGTGTGCCTCTCCACTCGTCGATAAACGTTCGCGGGATTTACGATTCGAATTCCAAGCTAACAGAGCGCACAACGCGTGCACGCGTCGAATAGGCAACGAGTTTCATGAATATATAAAAAGTGATCGTGAAAAACTACAATTTCACGCGGTTCTGTCAGCCATCTCGTTTCGCTTTTCCTCAGAACTTGTCCGCAGTCAGGCGCGCGCACCCGCTTCCAATCCTTTCTTCAACGCGAATGTCCTGATTATTTTCGGAATAGTTTAGCATCTATTTGCATGGTCTTTCATGTCAGCATAAGTACATTCATTGAAATTCGCCGTGACGTAAGCGCGTCAAATTCGCCTCGCTTCTGAATGAACGTCTGACTCGTAATATTATTACCGTGCTCGCACTCCTCGTAAAGTAAGTTAAAAGTACACGTCAATTCGACAAATCAACGGGGACCGAGAGTAATTAACCGACAACGATTTGCAACTCGCAAAAGCGTTTGGTTAAGTCTTACAGTGCCAGCCAGGCGGCCATATTGTAGCGCCGCAATTCCTAGGTAATACATCACAGCCAGAGCCGGGCTCTCTGCGAGTAAACGCTTTGATGCACATAATCTTGAGGCCGAATGCGAGCGGAATGTAGGTCAGCGTGTCCAGCCACGAAATTGCCGTGGAGTATAACCCGCAGGACTAGTGCGCAAGTGGCGGGGAGGCTATTGCTGCTGCGACCGACTTTTGCCTAATCCTCGCTGCCGCCAGCAACGACGTGACGAAACTCCACGCGACCCTCCGTCGCGTTGCTCACGACGCCTTTCAGACTAAATTACACCGGTGATGCAAGTCACTGCCAATTGCCGTTCTCACCTAGCCGTTAATACCTTTGTATTTAACGTGCGTGGTCTTTCACCGCTACGCCTGCAATTAGACTCTTTTTCTACGTATTAGGTTAGTCCGATTATTTCAACTTTTTTTTCTGGCACAGCCGTGCCGTTCGGTTATATTTATTTATTTATTTATTTATTTTTTTTTTTGTAATTCGTTGTTACGAAAGAAAAAGACCAAGTAATCCTCTTTGGAGCCGAGAAAATTCAATTAGTCGCTAAATTACGTCGAGTTTTGTGCCTCAAGTGGCGCTCCGAATTACGCCGACAAAACAGGTACTCACACTCGTGCATATTCACTCTTCTGTCAACGTCGAAATCATAGCTCTACTTTGGCAAAATGAATTTGCCGCAAAACTAACCGTATATGTTGTTCTTTGCTTCAGCAGTACCAGCAGGCAGAGGAGCAAACTTGTCGAAACAAAGTATCCACGAGCAGCGAAGCAGTAAGCGGCAAACGGGAATTCAGGGTAACTATAAAAGCCATTAACCTCTTCTAGGAGCGGCTGAACTGACTAATACGACAAACTTTGATGACGAACTGTCATTTGACGTTCTGTTCGAGCGAGAGAGCGCAATCACAAATGAAGTGTTGGATTCTTATTTTGGCGATCATCTGATTTGAAACGGAATAGCCGACCGGAAGTCTCGCCAGTGGCTTTTTTCGGACCATCGTTGCTCCTTTGCCGTTTTTTCCGTTCGAGAAGAGTGAGCTACTTACCCTCGATCGAATCGCGGGGTATTACTACCTCGAAATGAAATAAGCCGTCGAATAACTCGCCATTTCTAAAGAAGGCGTTTTTCTTTTTATTTTCGCGTTCTTCAATCGAACTTAAATCGGAGAAAATGAAATTTAAACTGAAAGCGCGGCCGTTATCGCGCAAGTTATTCCCAAAGCCATCGTAAAGCATAAGCTAACAGCTGCGGGTAATCGAATTGGAAATTGGCTCGCTTTTGTAGAGCCAAGTGCAGCAAAGTCGCCACGAAAGTCGCGAGCACGGACAATAGTGAAAGCAGCTCAGTGGCGTTGCATCGCGGTGGTAGTGCGACGTCCACTTGAAAGTCGAGTGTATACATCGGCCATCGCGCACAGTCTCGAGAGGCTCCGCGAGAGCGAGCTAAGAGTTCGAAGCGCTCGAGCAATGTTTCGGAAAAGCTCGGCTGAATTATCGATTTCATCCTAACCGACGCAATTCTCGCAAGCCATAATTGGAATTAATTTCGTTGCGGATAAATTGATCAGTTTCGTTATTAGAGGAGACGACAATTTGTTTCGATCGGGAGATTCATCGTGGCGAACTCTGACGTTGTTGTAAACTCGTTGCTCGAATTCTCAGGGAAGGGGGTTACGCTCGACTACGCGCGCAAAGTAATCGGCCGGTGCCGCTGCGCCCGACCAAACTCTGACCCGCACTACTGGCAGCGCAGAAACTTCTCCGAGTTGACTCGCGCTTCGTTGCAGATTGAAAGCTGCTGGCTGTGGCACTCACTATCACGGAAAACGTCCTTGAATACAAGGGTATCCAGCAAGTAAGCGAGCAAGTCGGGAAGCGGAGTTAGCGCGCGATTATCCAGCGAAGGCCGAGAGACGACGGCACGAGGCTTTGAGGAGACGCCATGCCTTGCATCTTCTGAGCTTGTACTAATGGATGAGCGTTCCAAGTGATCGAATTCCCATAACCTTTGACTGCGAACTAATTCGAGCTCGTTATTTATAGCTCTGTTCGTTCGCGGTTTAGTTCTCAGGCGAAGAGTTTGCCGCAGCAGCAGCGACACGGCTCGGGAAACTTGGAGTTGGGACAGCTGATGCAACACTTGCACGCCAGACAACTGAAAGCAGTCCAGTCGCCGGCCAATCCACTTGCGCTAAACACCAACGATTCGCAGAGAGTATTCCCATTTCAGTCGACTCCCAGCGGCAACCTCAAAATTATTCCCAACCAGGTTAGTTCGCGGGCTAGCGGGAGCGCCCACAGGTGCATCGTTCTCGGCTTAATCTTCTATTTGTATTTAAATTAAATTGTTAGCCGTGTATTATATGATGTCCATCAAACTACCTGAAAATTAAGTTTCACTCGGTGTCGTGGAAAACGTATATCGGCAAAACGTCGTCGGGAATCTATTGGTTGATGCTTTCGATTTCAACACAACAAATATGTAAAGTGCTTTCCCTTTGACGATCAAGCATCCAAGTCATGAGAATAATAAGTCCGATCTAATTATATCGCGAAAAGTACAACGCAAAAATCCAATCGCAAAGCTTGCGACTGCAAGCGACAGAGGTTCGTTAGGTGGTTTTCGAGTCGAAGAAGGTGAGCGTGCTGGTAGCGTCGCCGCGTCACGCGAAAGTCGACGTTAAGGCCGAGCAGCGGCTGCCGCCCAGCGTCACGGTTTCGACGCTGGAGAGGCTACAGGCACAGCTCGCGCCCAGCAGCGCCGACCGCCAGCAGCCGGAGCAGCAGCAGCAGCAGCAGCGGCCGCGCACTCAGCCCCACAGTCGAGCAGCCAAAAACAGCGGCGACGCTCGCGAAAGGCCAGCGCAAATGCTACCGAGACACGAGGCTGCCGATGCCGCTGCCAACTCTGCCAGTCAGCACGAGGCCGATGCTCGTGGCGTTAACGAGGTGGCGCTGGCGAGGTATGATGCATCTCTCGCGGGCTTTACGCTTGTCGCTTGTGTACACGGCGTCTGCTGACGTTGCAGCCTGGGTTTCACGGCCGAGCAACCCATCGACTGGCAAAACATTGCGCTGCCCGAGAAGACCGACTTGTATCGCGAGCTCCACAGGCGCATCACCACCTACACGTGTGGGAGAATCCCTTTTAATTTCCTACATTACATTCCTTCTCGAAAGCCCGCAAGCGAGACTGGTGCGCACTTTGCAGGAACGCCGACTGCATCGTCCGCATCGCGGATGACGAATTCCATTGCCATCTGCTGGTGCTGCAGAGCTACAGCACGTTCTTCGATGAGAGAAACGTGAAAGAGATCGAACTCAGTGGGGTGAGCCTTGTTGTCCTCTCTGCATCAAAAACTCGTGGCTGATGAAAAGCACTCGACGCCTAATTGATACGACGCGACAGCCCGTAAAACTTGGCGGGGATGGAAAGCAATTAATTTCAATCGACGACGAAAAGGAAGCACGGAGCGGGGGCCGCGATAAATCGGGAATTCCGGCAAAAATGAGCCATCAAGAGGCAGTAAACATTGGTGAACAAACTTACGACTGGCCGTATAACCGCGCAGAGAATCGTTCTCGGACAGCAAAGCCTGCTCCTCACGGAGGCCGCCGCCAAGCACTTCAGGCGTAGAACGGCTCCGATGAAAATAACAAAGCACACAGCTCGACCCCGATTTTCTCTTTCTCTCTCTCTCTCTCTCTCTCTCTCTCTTGGCTGTGTCAGCAGGCCGCTGCAGTAATAGGGCTGACCTTGGGGCTGGAGGGCTATATTTGACTCTCGCTCGGTTGAAATGCCGGGGCGAGACCCTCGACTTGAGAAAGGGCAGCTCTAATGATTGCCCGCGCTCCGGGCTTTCACAGACGTGCTTTCCTCTTCCTCTTCTTCCTTTTCAACTTCCACTTCGTTTTTGAGCGGACAAAAAATTGAATGCAGACCTTCTGAGAGAACCTTTTAATTTTTCGCCTCCTCTTTGCGGTCTTGCTCTGAATGACGGAGCTGTAATTATTATGTAGCGGGTGCGAGAGGTAGTAGCAAGTTTTTTTTTTCGGTTAACGCGCGGAGGGGCGACTGTCGATGCACGTAGCACTACTATTATCAGGCACCTTCTTAATGAATTTGATCACGCGACAAAACGCGCCAAGCAAAGAAACAATATGGTTTCTCTTCTTTGCGTGCGCAAGCTCGCGCAAGCCCGCGTATTTTTCTTTCAAAGCCCCGAGTAATTTCCTCGGGGAAATAAGTCGTCGCAGCGCGAGCGCGTTCGGATAGCTTATAAGTGAGTGTAGGTGTAGAGAGAGAGAGAGAGAGAGAGAGAGAGAGAGCAGTACAATCACGTGAGTAAAATGCAGAGCAGCGTGACCTCGGCAGCCTTCTCCATTATCTACGACTGGATGATAAGTCCAACGAGCGAGAGCTGTCATCTACTCAGGCGTGACAACATCCTTGAGATTTTCAGGGCTGCTCAGCATCTTGGAATCAAAGGTTCGACCCTTTCGCCTATCTTTTAGCATCTTCTGCTTTTTCCCTCTCTATTTCGCTTCGTTCTCGGGCATCTTTTGTTTCGACTCGCTTTTTACTTCTGTACTCGCGCTGATGTCTAAATGACAAAAGAAAAAGTGGAAAAATAGAACGGCATCTTCTCTTTCTTTTTTCGCGAGGCTTTGTTGCTGTTAAAAGCGAAAATGAGAATAGGCTTGAATAGCATTGTAAAAAAAAAGAGAGTAACCTTGAGAAAGTCTGTACTTTCTTCAAAGTTGAGTATATTTAAAAAAAAAGAAAAAGTAACGAAAGAATTACACGGGTGAAAAGAATTAGAGGAACAATGCTGGGCATTTATCGATAACGACGAGCTATTCTCGGAGGACACGGCATTCCTGCTATACCTGGAGGCACGAAAAGCGGGAAATACCGCGGTGATGGAGCTAATGGTCCCGAGAATCATGAAATTCTTCCTGATGCTCGTCAGCACCCGCGACTTTTTGCAGTTGACCGTCGACGAATTATGTCTGCTGCTGCGCTCCAATTACATCTGCGTCAATAGGTATTTAAAACTTGTGGCCAAACGGATAATTAACGCCGCGTACACGGCTAAACAGGCTTTTGAATGCGCCTCAGCGAAATGGAAGTTTTGATGTCCGCGGTAAGATGGCTTATGTACGATTGGGAGGGCAGAAAGCAGTACTTGCTGGAAGTTATGAAGTGTGTCAGATTTGGTCTGATCGCACCCTGGCAACTTGTCGACGTCAAACGCAACCCCGAAAATCCGGAATTCATGGAGTTAATGTCTTATCCGGAGATTCAGAAAATGGTCGACGACGGCCTTGCGTAAATATCAATATTTTGGGCAATATAACTACATAGCGTAATCCGGAAATGGCACGTTTCATATTATCATGAATTATCGAACGATATTTTTAGCTTCGTTATCATCAAGTACTGGTACGGCAATCAAACTGAAGATTATTACCACTGGATTGACCTGCTGGGATTAACGGAGCCGACGAACAGGAATTGGGCCGGTGAAGATAAGGTATTCAATTCAGAGCAGTAAACATGATACAAGAGCGTTGTAAGCAACGACTCCAAATATTTGTCGTTAATTACGTGACGTCAGCGGCATCGTTTCCCGAAAATGCTAATATGAAAATCCAGGAAAAGCTTTTATTCGTGGAAGGAAAACCTGCCTTATTTTCGTAGCACTACGTCACCTACAGAGAATTCCTTCTATACCTGGAGGAATATCAGCGGACGAAGCTTTTGGCGTTGAAAAATAAAAAGTCACATGCGAAGCCGTCGCCGCCCAGTTCACCTCCGAAAGAAAATTCTTCGCCGCAGACGACTCCACTCGTATTCAGGAAACGCACGACGAGCCATCAGAATTCTAAAGTCGCAGAGATAGCTTCGATGAGTAAGATTGAAAGGCGTTCATTCTCTGAGCTGGGCCATTTTATTAACGAGCTCGTTTCGTTCCGCAGCAGCCAATGCAAGGCCATCGAAAAACCCGACGGAAGCATCAGCTAGCAATGTGCCACCTTGCATGATGATGTCGCCAGAAATTTTGCAACAATACCTCGATAGTATGGGTAGAAACAGTAGCAAGTTGGTGAGTAAATCAACCAATGGGATTTCAAGACCCAAACACTGACACACTTTTGAAATCACACGATAATGCGTCTTGTTCTTTCTTAAATTTGCATTCTGTTGTGTGTATCGTTGATTTTTCTGTAAAAATTTGTCAATTTATAGTGAACTCGCACTGCTGCAATTTTGTAAAGCCATTAAAATGATTTTGTACAAATATAAGATATATACAGTATAACCTGATATCTCGTACGTTCATTATGACGATACCTTCATTATTTTATAATTGAAATAAATATGAATATAATGAGAAATAGTAATTAACGTCCAGACTGAAAGATACTGAATTTGCAAATTTAATAACTGAATTCTCTTTTAGCGAAAATTACAGTTTTATCTTACAGTATTTTTAAAAGAAAATCTCTCGGTATCGCTGCGTGTCTGTAAGTGGCGGCTTACATGGTAATTCTTTGAGAAAGTAATCGAGGTCAGAGTTTATGTATTACTAGAAAGAACAAACAAGTATCGAACTTACAATTTCGGCTCAAGTATTTTGCGCGGTAAGAAAACCAGGTAACAACACTTGCAACACATAAGCTCTTGCCTTGAGATTTGAAAAGAAAATTGACATACGTTAACCATTGTTTTGTCGCAGGCAGGCGAAGAGAGGGTTGGTAAACGCAGCGAGGCAGAGTTACGCACAATTTACACCCGACGAAATTGCGGCGATGACGAAGGTCCGATTACCAAGGCTGAAAGTGGACAATCGGAGAAAAATATTTGCGAGTGGGCCAATATCAAAGTATATCGCATGAATAATTTAACGTATTTGTCGGCCAGAGTTGTTCGAGTTTAAAAGTACTTTGACCGCCGTTTCGCAGCGGCGTGGAAATTCGTGTCGCGCTAAACAGGCGCCCGGAATTTCGCATTCGAAGCATTCCGCTTTGAGCAATCTGCCTACAAAATTCATGAGCATGAAGTGCGTCGAAGAAAAGCAGAAGCGACCGAGCGACTCTTCAAACTCGCAAGAGGAAGCTGCTACCACTGCTCAAGCTGTTTACCGTGGATACAAAGGGAGAACGAAAGTCGCTCAAGTTAGTTCGGCAAATATTTTAATCAGAAAGTACACAAGCAACTGCTTCAAGTTTTCATCTATACACACTCGGTTGATTCACAAAGGAAGCGTTTGTCCGAATTTCATTTTCCCCCTTTTTTCCTTCGACTCGAGCACAAAACCATCCTCTACCACATGACTTTCGGATTTTTCTCAATGCGAACTTTCTTAAAGTTGAGAACGCAAATCACGCTCGCGAGAGAAACTTGATGTTCCTTCTGCATAAAATAGCTGTTTTCTTCGCCCCTCTCTTATTCCACAAGCAAATCCGTCAATAGCCTTGCAAGTCCGCAAGAGCATAAAAACCGCAATATCCTCAAGCAAAGAAAGGAAAAATAAAAATAAAGTCTGGTTTCCTTTGTCGTGAATACGCGCAGATAAAAAGGGGAGGTTCTGAAAATACAGCGACGAGGACGAAAAGAGTCATGGATCTCTTGACTACTCCGGTCGGGCAAAGTTTGCACAAACCCCTCGAACCCATCAAATTTGCCTCCTGTCCCGCCGCCGCCGCTAGGCAGCGAAGCGAATCGCCAGCAGATAAGGAAACAGCTTTAGGTGAAACGATAGCGGTGCCCTCGGTTATTGCCGACCAAGATAGGCGACTCGATAATCGCGTCACGAAGACCTTTGTCGATCTTGAGCAGAAGACTCAAGTTAGATGAATTGCCAACAAAGCCTGCGCACCGAAGTCTTGTAATCAGCTGCGATTTCAATTTGCTTAGATGTCGGAGGATGAATCGACGGAGAACGGCAGTCTAATTAAGACAGTTATGTCGCCGGCGCACTTCTCGACCGACGATAAGAGCAGTATCACGCCGCGCGACAGTATGGACGAAGCAGCAGGTGCAGCAGCAGCAGCAGCAGCAGCATCAACAACAGCAGGCCTCACCTCGAACGTCGAAGTGCGAGCGCGAAAGAAAACGAAAGACAGCCTGCTGCAGCAATTGTCGAAGTGTAAGCCTGCCGAGAGTCGCAAAAACTGTCTCCGAGAATTCGCAGAGAATCAATTGTAGCTCGCAGCCTATTAGTCTTGACTAAGGGAAAGCCCTGTTCTGATGCGCGCGCGCGCTCGCGGCTTGCAGTCGAGCGTCGGGGAAGTTCAACCTTGCGCCGTAAGTCACGCGCGAAGGAAAAGGAAGCCGTTCTAGTTTTCGGCGGGATCGATCCGCATGACGAGCGGCAGCGGCAGCAACGGGGCGCCGAAGTACTCGCTTACCGTCGTCGTCACGGCTGGAGACTCGTCGCCGAGATGCCTCAACCGCGGCACCATCACTCGCTGGCTTACCTCGCCGGTCGCGTCTACTTGGCCGGTAAGCGAGTTAACCGATATCGACACGCTCCCCGCTGCTGCTAGCCGCTCCATTGCCTCGATCTGTTTATACCGAGCCACTTCATAGACCAGTCCAGGTCACCCGTTGTAGTTCAATTATTCCACGTTGCCGGATAATCGCGCGCGGCCAATTCGTTTACGAATGCCATTCAGATCCAAGGTTACCATAGCGCCGCGAGCGCTTCGTCTACGTATTTGGCCGATTTTAGGCTAGCGCGAGAAAACACGCACGCACGTCCTCAATTTTATTTGCAGTTTTCGATGCTCGTTTAAACGATCGTTGTTGTTATGAAGCAGTCATTACGCGCGAATTCATTAATTTATCACTGCGTAACGACGTTGGCCACCCATGAAAATCCATAAACCCATAAAAACACATAAAAACCTCGCAAATATTTATTGTCTTTGACTGAGTTCATCACATTGCTTGCGATTTACCAAAGCCGAGCGAAACAGCGATGCAGAGCACATCGCGTGATTTATCAGTGTTGACATCCGTACAAGCAGGTGGGAGTAACCCCCGCGACGACGCGATCCACAAAAGCGTTGCCTTGGGCACAGCTTGGAGCTACGATCCCCGAGCGAGAAGCTGGCGCAGCGAGGCTGACATGCTGACTTGCCGGCAAAACTTCGGGCTGGTGGCGAGCGACGGCAAAATATTCGCCATCGGCGGCCAGAGCTCCGACGGACTGTTAGTGTCGTCGGGTTTTCAAACGCTTTCCTCGCTTTCTGCCCGACGCTCGCGTGACCTTTTACTGGAACAGTAGACGACCCAAAAACGCGCGGAAACTTTTGCAATTACATCTGTGGAAAGGGCGGTGGCGTCAACTCGCGGCGGTGGCTTTCAGGGCATTGAAAACAGTCGAGGCATTCGATCCGTTGGCAGGCGAATGGACGGTGCGGCGATCGATGCGTATTGCCAGGATAGGCCCTGCCACCGTCAAATACGACGCCCGGATCTGGGTCGCCGGGGGTATGACCAATTCCAGCAGAGAGCCCATCACTCGTGACGTCGAGTGCTATAATGCCATTGCCAACGTGTGCGTATCTTTATCTCCTTTTTTTATAATTAAATAGCAGCTGTCGCGTTCACTTTGCTCTCGTGGGCAATCTTTTTACTGCGATGGCACGATCGCTTGCTCTGTTTTTCTTTCCGAAAGCACCGAAAATTTCAAATTTTAGACCTATAGCTTTCAATATTAATTTAAAAGACAGCTAGCGATCATTATTTTTAATCGGCGTATCGGCCGTATATTTTAGATTAAAAAAAAAGTTGTCAGATCAAATGAAATATTTCGCTGCGTGTTGTTTTGATTCTGATATGTCCTCGGTGAAATATGAAATCAAAGAAATTTTTCATAAAAAATGTCCTGACAGTGCGGTACTTTTACCCATATTTTTTCAAATGAACATCGTAAAATTAAAACTCGGCTTCGGGTAAAAAATCTAAGAAAACAAAGAAAAACACGTCCTGTACATTCGATGCGCGAATATTCGGTATAAAATTGAATTGCTTTGGAAAGGCTATACAGAGTTGAAACTCATGGCATTCTTAACAGATGGTACGTAATGGAGCCATTGCTATCCCCAAGGTGCTTTTCGTGTTTGCACGTAGTGGCGGATCGGCTGTTCATAATAGGCGGCGCGAGCGAGACCTGCACCAAAAGTAGCATCGAGAGCGTAGGCTACATCGACGTTTGGGACGTGAGTCGTTGCAGCTGGCAGCGATACACCCAACTACGGACTGCTCGACACGGACATGCCGTTAGCTCGATTGGTCAGCATTGTGCTGCGCTTGTGACGTTCGATTTGTTCCTTTTCAGACGCCCCCCCCGTATTCTGTATGGCTTGTTTGTTCACATTGTCGTTCGGTAGCTACATTCTTTTTCTCGTCCTCTTCTTCTTTTTTTTCGTTCATTTTGATTCAGGTTGCAAGCGTACCGATTCATTTTCACTTTTTGAAATTTGCCGTTTTCAGTAGAGCTTCAAGATTCAAAAGCTATACTCAAATTACCAATGGAAAATCAAGCTGCTGGTTTTTGACGTAGGTAATCAGCTGCTGGTGATGGGTGGCGTGACGACCAAATACACGAAAGCATTGAAAAGCGTCGAATGCTACTGCTTCGCACAGGATAACTGGACAAGAGGCATTTCCTCGTTGCCTCTTGCCATCTCCGGTCACGGAACAGTCTCTTTACCACTCACTAATATACTCGACAAGTCTTCGCAATCGAAAAATTACACCGATGGTGAATGACTTTATATATACAAAGGTTTATGTGGCGAAGACAATACTCGTATTTATTATTTTAAGCGTGTATTTTAGACTAGTATTTTCAGCGATACGGTTACTTTTGTACTCATCAGTTTATAGAGGAACAGTAAACAAATCTTAAAGGCAAAACGTGAAGATTGTTTATAATTAAATGAATTAAGCATTAATATCGCTTAGGTAAATATTAAAAGTTAGCGCGCCGTTCGTTGTAACGCTCTGCCGTGCGATGGCAGCACCTACAAGTTTGGCCATTCATCGCCATCTCTGGTTACCTTGAGTAACCTCCCAACCCAAGTCCCACGTCGCAATCAGGTAAAGTGGTAACGTTAGGACTCTGGGCATACCGGCGGCGCTCAAATGTCAAAAACAGTAACGACAGGTCTCGCTGGTTACCTGTGGCGATCGCGAAAAAGAGAGAGAGAGAGGGTACCGCCGCGGCGCGCGATCAGTGCTCCGGCCGTGCGTGCGCGCGCGATAAAAAGAAAATAGCAAGAACAACACAAGCGCGGACGGGGCAACGTAAAGCAAAGCCGTGTGCAGTGTAGTGCGTGTATAGTTGTGCAGTTCGAATGTGCCGCGGTCGTAGTTAACCTCGAAAAAAAGCTATGGCATCGGACGAACAGCAGCAGCAGGAGAAGACGACGCCGCTCGCCGAACACTCAACTCCAGCAGTAGCAGGTACGCGCTTGCTTACTCACACGTATACCTTTCAAGCGAGCAACAAGTGGTTTCAATAAGGATGCGCCTATAAGAAACTGAGAGAAAGTGTAGACGGCCTTCGGAAAAGTCGGCGACTTTTTTTGCAGGCCGGACTATTGTCCGCGTATATACGCGTTCGTATGTGTTTGTGTGTGTATGTATGCGTGCGTGTATGCGTGCGTGCGTGTCTGCGTACACCTCTTTTTTTTCCTTTCTGTTGCTTGCGTTCGCCAGGTAATGTACAGTATATATGGCAAGGATATAGTCGGGCGCGCTTGTAGGCTAAGAGCGCTCAGGTGTAGGCGCGCGAGCGGGCCGAGGAATTCGACGTGAGTCAGATAACTATGGAGAACATTCGGAAATCGGTTGGATTATACGGCGAAGCTGTCTCGTTATGCGTGCAAATTTATCTCGTTGGCATAATGCAAAATCCGAGAGGTGTAGGTCCGCTCGCTCGCTCGCTATTTTTTGGCGATCGTCGGCCGGTTCTCCAACGTATGAAAGCGATCGTGCCTCGGACAATACAGTTATTTTAATTGGCATCATCTGGTAGAAGAAAGAAGCCACAGAATTCGCGAGGTAGAATTCAACCGATCGCTTGCCAAGGCCGGAAAAATTTCGCTGTCATAACCGATGACAGTGAGAAAAACCAACTGAACATCTAAATTCCTCAGGCGCACATCGAGCTCGATAAGCTATCGTGTCTCTCGCTCGATTACCCACGGAGGAAACCTGACCCGAAAAATAAAAGAACGAGCATCGGCTTTTAGGAGACCCGTCGTAACTGTAAAGGCGTAACGCGCCAAATTTGCATGCTATATCTTTCTAAGCCTTTGCGAAATAAAAAAGAAGGGAGGATTGCCAATGTCGCTTGATCGTTCTCTGCACACACGCGCGCGCTTACTTTTATTTATATGAGACCGGGCAGGTGGAGTCTGATTTATCTAGACGATTGACAATGATAAGATACTGTCCGTTTGTCTTTCCCTCCTCGATCGTCACGCTCAAGTTGTCGTCACAATAATAAACCGCTTTGGCCGTAGTTTTGTAATGATGAATTTTGTTTATTATAGCTTTTTTACGCGCTATGGTGCAGTTAATCTTGAAGCTTATATATAAAGGCCGACGAATCTAAATAAAATACGACGAATATTTTTTCGATCGGATTGCGGTACATTTTAATATCGGCTTTGAATTTATATAGATAACTATTTTCGTTGTAGAATCGTAACTAATTTATTTTTATTAAAGTCGTCGTTGTAGTTGTAAAGTAAAAGGACCAAACAATATTAATAATATTGTATTCTAATAGTGATATCAATCGCATATCATGTTATTTATTATTGATTACTTTGCAAAATAAAATTTTCAGTCTGCCAATTTCCTTTCGACGCGAGTGTGTTTATTATAAACTATGAGACCCGTCGAACTGTCAAATTTGACCTTTCCCACTGCATGTTCACCTGTTTTCCCAGTTAAGTGAAGCAATGACAGGTGGCGCTGAGTGATGTTGTTATGCACCGCCCACTGACATTCACGAGGCACGCTTGGCCACGCCAGCCGCCAGGTCATGCTAAGTCAAATCAAACAACGCCATTCAACGTCGAGCCAAGGTAGAGACAAGAGCGTTTGCCTCATCTTGTGTTACTTGTCAGATTTCACGAAGCTTACTGAAATAAACACTCTTGCCGCGAATAGTTGGTTTTTTTCAAATATTTTTCATAAATTACTACAAGTCTCAGTAATAATGAAAGTGAAAGAATGAACTGACTGTCTTTACAGACTTTTTATTCAGTGTGAGCGGTTGCTGAGAGATAAACTGAATTGATAGGTTATGTTTATGTGAACTGTTTGTTTATATATTAGTAAAATGTCAACTCCGTTTTTGGCAGAAGATAGTCATCTTTCGCTGATAGCTCCAAGCTTATCGCGAAGAATTAATAATTTGAGCAAAACAGCTAACAAGTTTGATCATGTTATGACATTTTTTGTCACTGTAATGTCAGAATTTGGATACAAAGCAGCTTGCTTATACAACGAAAGAGCTGAGTAAGTGTTATTATCATGTCACAATCTATCACCATTTCTAGCTTAATTTTTTATTTTACATATTTTAACTGGCGTTTCATTCTCTATATTATAGATCCTGGTCTGATGATTTTTCATTGGTGTGGAACTCTTGGAAATCACCAAGAAATAAGTTCTATGAGATTAAATTTATATTAGGTCATAGAAAACAAGCTCAGTGCAAACTTATTGGTATCCCTATGGGAGACTGGATTATTTTAAATCTAATGGCAAGAGGTGCAAGTAAAAAGTGTAATACAAGGTCAATGACGGTTCATGTTGACAAGCATATTAACTTGTGCCTTAAAGAGCTTGGAAAATTCTGGCACATGAAAGAATTAGGTCTAAAGTATGTTTCAGTACAGAATGATATTCATCAGTTAAAATATTGTATTATTTATCACTTGTTTACTTTTGCAGTTTTAAAAATAAGCTGTTAGCACCTTTACATGGCGAAATGATGATGGAAATTGGTGTGGCTGGTCCATGTCTTCTAGGACTTCCTCTTGAAATCAAGTTTCTCATTGCTGACATGTTAGACAAGCAAAGTCGGTCAAGTTTAGCACAAATATGCCCTCAAATTATTAAGGTTGATAGGAGTAGCACAGTTGGTTCAACTGTTGAACCAACTGTGACACTCCTACCAACTAGACGGCTATTATCAAGACCAAAACCAAGACCACGGTTAATGGAAGCATTGAGAAGATCTCGAAAACGACCTGCTAGTATATTTAACTAAATATCTCAATTGTTCAATATTTGTTTTAAGCAATTGATCACATTTAGTCTTACACGTGATTATGTTCTGTGTTTTTTGATTGTTACATCAATTGATATTGATGAATAATAGTACATTACCTAACTAGTCCGGAAAAATAGATTCTTTTCTAGTGTGAGGTTTATGCCCAAGCGAATCGAAGGTGGAAAGGCATACAAAACAAGAATTTCTTTGTCAAATATGTTAGGTACAGTATTTTTTAAAATGACGTATGGAAAGGGTGAATTTGGGTGTATGCTTTGTGCCGAGTATGCCGCAAAATCATACTTTCGGAACGACATGTTGAAAAATATTTAAAAATTAATATACAACGTAAATGAAATGCAAAGACCCGTAAATGCTAATTTTGATATATTCAATAATGATGAAGTGTATAAAGTAATAGTATATAGTAATCATAAGTTATAAATTTTTATACAATCTTTATTCAAATTTATCTTGATGATAAATATTGTACAAATATCAGATATTTCTTATAAAAGTAAAACAATTGAAATGACATTATTTTTATAAAGTGATATGTTTATAGATAATAATAGTGTAAATATAACGTTCCTAGCTTATATTTGTATGAGTGAAACATGCGAAATAAAGAAATGTCATTCGCAATAACAGAAAAAACTGTCGCTATTATTCTGCGTTACCTTGCTGACCATTACATTTTTATTACAAATTGAACATTACTTTAATTATAGTTTTCACTTTACCCTTTCAGATCAGCCAGAAGATATTCGAAATGATGAAACTAACGATGACAGTATTTTAGAAGAGCTCGATAAAGCGCTCAGCAATGGCGATATCGGTGAGTGCATTAAATTTTAAAGAATGTACTAAAACTTTTTACAAATTCATAGTATTACGCAATCATTCGTAAATAAAATAAAAATATAATATAAAAATAAATGAAACAATAATTCGTAAATAAAAGAATAAAACTTTTTTTTTGGCAACGCGTACTTGAATAAACTTCGCAAGATTTATTTGTATTTCCGCAAAATAAAGCACATTGGCATTATTTACATTGTAAGCAAATTACCCGAGGAAAGTCGTTCGTTTAATAATTTTGAAATAAAAACACGAGTATTAAGATAAAAGCGAGAAATGCAAGGAAAGCAGTGGAAATTCGTCGGCTAGGAAGTATTGAATTTTGGCTGAGGACTTGCTGCAGCAGCACTATCCTAAGTGGATCGTAAATTAACGTGCTCTCGGCAGACTCGCACTTGCGCATCCCTACGACCTTAGTCGAGACCGAGAAAACAGGGCTGCTCATTGTGCGTGAGCATTTCTTCGGATGTTCTTTTCGGATTTCAGAGGGTAATACTAGCAACGAGGACCAGCTGTAACAGCGCTGGAACTCTAATAAATTGCGATCGTGAGTGATGGCTCGACTTGTTTGCATTTGGGGATAATAAATTAACAGTTGTCGGAACGCTACGGGCCGAGTCCATCGCCGGGCAATTAAGGCGTGGCGGGATGATTGATTGCCAAGTGGAGAATACCTATTGCTATTGTAGCGTTGTACCGGCTTCTGTCTAAGCTCCGCTGTCCGGCTGATCTAAGCTTTACAACTACAGTATGAGTTTATGTTTTTACGGCAAGCCGTGGGATGGTGCTTTAATGCTCCCGAAGCACACCTCGGCACTCGACAGCTGCTGCCGAGAGAGCGAAAAGTGAAAGTGCATCGGAACAATGAGAGAAAGAGAGAGAGAGAGAGAGAGAGAGAGAGAGGGAGAGAGAGAGAGAGCGGGAGCGTGCAATTATGAGATTTGTCATTTCTTCACCGTGCTAATATCATCACTCTGTCCCGTCGAACCGTCTCCCGGCGCGTGGATAATCGCTCTGTCTTGACTGATCGGATCAAAGCGGCGCGCCTAAAGACGAGCCCTTTTCATCGGCATCGGCTGATGGGATCTCCCGCACTTACCCTCGCCCACGGTTCCGATAGACTATCTCTCAGTAGAAACTGGGTCGCGCTGGATTTTCGGGTGCGTGCGTTCCACGGGCTCGCCGCGTACGATTCATTGACTCAATGATCATTTAACGAGTTCGCGCGCAGAACCTTTGACAAAATTACATTCAAAGCTCAGGGCTCAATTTACACGAGATGACTAATTAGGCAATCTTGCGCATCAGAAGCAAGCGCGCTACTTAGCAACGTTACGGCGCTGCTAAGCAGTCCAATTGGAAAGTTCACCGTTCAATCAGGCGCTGCTAGATATCGCCAGGGAGAAAAAGGCGACAACTATCCGGGGAAACTATCTTTATTTTTAAGTACGGTACGCAAGCGGCGACAAGTCATTAGCGGTGGCGGACACGTCCAAATAGCACAGCAGCAGCGACGATGGAGAAGCGGGTCAGCGGACTTGCAACACCTAGCTGGGGATAGGTACAGCGGGTTGAAAGCAATTCACTCGTGGCCGCGAATGAGGGAGAGAGAGAGAGAGACTGGTGAGTCTGGACTCGTCCTTAGCGCCTGCGCCCACCCTACCCCACACGCGCTCGCGCGATTCATACGCTCGCTGCCTCAGTCGGGCCACGTCTGCCAACACGCGACACGCTTTTTTATTGCCTTGCCTTAAGGACAAACGCGAAGACCACCAGCAGTGTGCGCAACTGGAGAACACTTTTTGTATCGCAGCTGTGTCTCGTTTCATCGCCACGCTCCTTGTGCGCGTTTCCTTACTTTTTTACGCTCTTAAGTGCGAGTCGCAATTAGCACTGTGGCGGACGATTTGCACCGGTGAAACGCGTCTCGCGACTTCACCGGACAAAAATTAATTAGAAATTTGTCGCGTGGCAGGCAGCCTACAGAGCAGAGCTGTTGTGTAGCGCCAAGCTTTTCATTGTTTATCAAACTTAACGAGAGATTAGTTGAGTTTGACTCGAGTTCGTGTCTCTCGATGCAGCGATTGATGTCACGGAAATACCGGGTTGCACAATAGACGACCCTGTTACATACCGGCCCGTAAACATTACATTTAATCTCGTGTAAATACCCAATGAATATTTGCATGACACCATTCGAAAATCTAACATTTTTTTATTTAAATCCCGCTGTATCAGTTTGCTTCCTGTTTTTTTTTTTTTTTTTATAATTAAATGCACTGGCACAGAAAATCAATAATTAATTAATCGCGCATTTGACTAACCTAATTAGCGTCCATTACAGAAGCATAAGCATGTACGTTCCCGTACAATCAGCACATTGTACTTATTATCTGGTATTGTTTGACTGTCTCTGTATATTTACATAGCCTTCCATGTATTTCAGCAATTCCATTGTCAATGCAAACAATTCGGCCATGCATTTAATTTGACTAAAAATATCTTACTCGCGTGCAGTGTAATTTTGATGAAAAAGCATTACAAGTATATACAGAGACGCTGGTGAAGTTGCGATGAATAGAAGTGTTTGTTGTTCGAACCGTGGACACGCTGAATTGCAAGAAAAGTTGTGGAACCAACAAAAAGAGATAACGGTATTTCCGCGCCCTATTTTATTTGTACATGCATTGGCGTGCGTTTCACTGTTCTCGAATGATTGTCGGCAATGGATCAACCTGCTGTTTGATAACCGCGCGCACCAAAGAAACCGCTATAGCCACTAGCATAGATGGACTAACTGTATCGAACGATTACGGCTTTGAAAGCGCCTTGCTTGATGAAAATTGCAAATTGAACGACGGCACCATCGCGGACGAGATAAGCTAATGCTGCACTTTCTCGTTCTCTTTAACGAATGCCGCGAGAGCAATTTTTCCGATCAACACCATACTGAAAAACACTTACGTTTCTTTATTAAGACATCTGTGTCCCTGCTCCATTCATCCGTTAGGCACGCAGCACTCAATCTTTCTTCGTTCACTTTGATGCTTACTCTGTCCATAAATTTTACGAGCTAACTTATTCGATGAGTTAAAGCTGATCAGTGAACGGTGCGCCATCGTGTGAAAATATACAGTTTTTGCTCTCGCAAAAATTATCTTTACGTAAACTGAAAGTAAGAAAAAGAAAAAATATCACCAGAGTACCCACGGTCTTAACATTGTTGTTTTTTTCTATACGCAAGCAAGATGGAAAGCGCGCGTGAGGTCAGGAGACAGCTGCAGCAATATTCTCCGCGTATGGCAGCTCCTCGCAATGTCACGCGAACCGCTGCATATAAATACTCGTACAGACTGTAGCTCCCTATTTACGCGCGCACCTTATGTAGCACTTGGATTAACGGCCGTGCTAAAGTTACACTCGACCCGCGTTTCCATTAATTACTTGTTTTCATGAGTTTTCATTGAATTATTTTATAAATGTGGTTTATAAATACCTCAATACCTCAACGCCGCTTCGCTGAAATATCATTTTCCAACGCGAAACATGATATTACGACTAAGTTAATATCGATACATTTAATTAATATTCAATCTATTTCATTGTGGTATCCAAAGTAAAAAGTTGCGTCTCGTTCAAATTATTTTCGTTCGGACCAATGCACTTACAGTGGAAAGAGCTATAAAAAAGCTTTGTCATTGAGCTCTGTTTGACAGATACTTTTACTGTTTTGGAAATTGAATGTAATTGATGAAACATATAGTCTGATATAATACCGAGAAAAAACTAAAGCCCTATTAGGCTCAGTCCCCGAGTTAATATCAGCAGTTCTTTTTTTCGAGTTTGCTTTTTCTGTCCACTCCGCGTGTTATACTTGCACGAGACGCTTAATTACGAAAGCTTATTATTTTTGAGCCTGCAACATCAAGACGCGAAAATCCTCACTACAGGCGCTTCTCTTCATCCGCGTCGGCCCAACAAGCGCGCCGATATTAAAAATACACTGACTGCCTCGGTTTTGATAATAAAGCGTGTCACTCGGATCCCTGACGCTACTGCAGTATCTGTGCATTATGCGCTTGTGAGAAGGCGATCGATTCTCTTCTCCCTCGGAAGATAGCGCCTCGTATTCTTCATCTAACTTCTCGCCAAGTACGATTTCTCATTTGGATTCTCTTGATACAGTCCAAATGATAGTCCTCGAAGTAGGTAATCATAAAATATCCGGCGGATTTTCAAGTGTGTTAGAAATTTTTTTTTTCTAATTCAAAAGCTTCATTGTTTTCGGTTGTCACGTCGTAAAAAAAAAGTTAGTAATTATCAAACATAACAACATCTCTGCATCCAAGCTTCGTTTTCTAATCCATTTATTGAGACTCGGCCCAATCAATCGTTCGCATAGATATGTACGCTTTGTTCCCGCTGTTCTCGTTGATAACACATTTTTTCACTCTGCCAACAACGAAAATTGATTTTACGGACCTCTAAATGCCCGTCAATACGTTGATTATGCAATTATTCATTTTCACGTGTATACTACAATTTATACATCGACAGTTTTTCGATTAAAAATTCTTTACTCATATCATAAATTACTTGTATATATGGCTAATTAAGCTCTAAATATCTAAGCAACGTGATGAATACTTTAACGATAACTTTATTGCTCAAACAAAAACGTTATGATGAAATAAAAAAAAACACGAGAGGAAACCATTAGCTTTATGAAATTTTTTTCCGTTCATCAATATCCACGATAGAATTTAATAAACTGTTAC